CTACCAAGCATCATATATCACTCTTTGTTGATGACATCCTCTTATTTTTTTCTGATATAAAGAATTCACTTCCACCTATACTTAGTATCTTCGAACAGTATAGTTTTGTCTCTAGTTTTAAAATAAACTGGACCAAGTCTGCACTTCTACCTATAAATCAAACTAGTAGAGACGAATGTGCACATTTCAATATACCAGTGGTCTCTCAGTTTAAATACTTAGGAATAAACATATTTCCGTGCCTTAACAAAACTGTTTATAAGAATTATGCCAGCACTCAGAACATACTTAAAAATGATATGGAGAGATGGCATAACTTACCTATTTTTCTCTCTGGCAGAATCTCAATAATTGAAATTAATGTACTTCCTGGGTTAAATTTCTGTAGTTACATGTTACCCCTAGCACCTCCTTCAAAGTATTGGGATAAAATACACAGCATCATCACAAGATTTTTATGGAAAGGAAGACGTCCTAAAATAGAACTTGCTAATTTACAAAGAAAGAATGAGTTAGGAGGACTTTCAGTCCCTAACTTTAAATTGTATTTTCAGGCACTCTCCCTTTGTCCCATTATAAATTGGTTTAATGACAATATTTCCATACCATGGATCAAAATTGAGAGGGACCTGGTAGCTCCAGCTGCGTTGAGAGACATTTTGTTTACTCAGCTCTCAATTAGTAAATGCAAAAGTAAGTATGGTGAAATAATAAGTTATGCAATTGAAAATCTGAGAAAAATTGAAAAATTATATAAGTGGAAAACTAAATGGCATGCCAGCACACCATTATTCTATAACAGCTCTCTGAGTACTGGAGGAACACATTTTTTTTCAAATCATTGGTCTGAGTCAGGGATACATTGTCTGGGTGACATCATGGGTACGTCTGGATTAAGAAGCTTTCAGGATTTAAAAGAAACGTATAAATTATCAACCAATACTTTCTTTTTGTTTTTACAACTACGTTCTGCCATACGGGCTGCTAATATTCCAGTTGACCAGCCACCTGTTGTTCAAGAAACTTTTACTTCTACGTGCACGACTGGAAAAGACCGGCTCGTAAGACTGTGACATTCTCTGGGTCCCTGTCCCCTTCCGCAGAGCTCCACGTCAACAATTTATTCAACTACAAGACTTGGACCTTTCGAGGCTTCTAGCACTTCCAATATTCCAGTAAAAATGTCTTTCCGATATCACAGAGGCTCAAAATCCCGATCTGCCACTGAACATCGCAGCGGTGTAAACTTTAGTAACCTCCGCTCTCTGCCATGGACGCCGCTAGCGCACGTCAGTAATGCGGCCCCAATTAAACTGGCTCTAATAAATGCCAGATCAGTGCTAAATAAGACTTTTATTCTTAACGACTTTTTCACATCCCAGGGCCTAGATTTCTTTCTGGTGACTGAAATTTGGCTGAACTCCAATGATGTAAGTCCACTTATTGAGCTTTCTCCAAATGAATGTTCCTTCTTTAACACGCCACGACCCTCCGGACGGGGTGGGGGTCTGGCAGCAGTTTTTAAAAACAAGTTTGATTGTTATTGCCTTGCTCTGGGTTCCTTTTCCAGTTTTGAAGCTCAGTTCATTAAAGTGGGTACAGCAAACCCTCTTCTTATCATCTTAATATATCGTCCTCCAAAATCAGACAAACATTTTATCACTGAGTTTGCAGACCTTTTATCGCAAATTGTGCCATCATTTGAAATAATTTTAATACTTGGTGATTTTAATATCCATGTATGTTGTCCGTCAAAACCACTTGTTGGTGAATTTTTAAACCTGATTGAATCATTTAATTTTGCACAGCATGTCTCAGGTCCCACTCATAAACATGGCCACACTTTGGACTTGGTCTTGTCTTGTGGTCTTCCTATTAACAATTTTGAAATAATGAACCCTTGTCTTTCAGATCACAGTGCCATTATTTTTAATGTGTCCCTCTCTGACCTGTCACCCAATGGTCTCCTCCCCATGCGTTACTCTCTTCTACTGCCAGTTTATTCTCAGCTGCATTCTTATCTGCTCAAGCTACTCTGTCCGTTGAAAATATTCCTACTGAACTCTGCACTGAGGATCACATTCAGTTATTCAATGCCACCTGCTCCTCAATTCTCAACCATATTGCTCCTCTCAAGATAAAAAAAAACAAAGCCTAAATCACAGAATTGGCTTACTGAATCCACTAAAGCCATAAGGAGGAGTTGCAGACAAGCTGAACACAAGTGGAAGCAAGATAAGCTTCAAATCTCACATGATATCCTTAAAGAGCGGCTGATCAGCTACCAAATTGCAGTCAAGGCAGCGAGAGCAAAACATTTCTCAGATATCATCTCAAAACATTACCATAATCCTAAAGTCCTATTCAATATTATAAACTCTCTCACCTGCCCCCCTCCTGGATCCAAAGACACCTAGTAGAGCAGAAGACTTTTTAAAGTTCTTCACTGAAAAAGTTGCTTGTATTAGAAAAAATATCTCAGCCCCAACCAGGCACATCTCAGCCTCCCCGCCTTTCAACTGCTCTGCCCAGTTAAACTGTTTTGAGCCTATCACCTCACTCAAAGAGATGGTTTTTAAAATGAAATCTGCCACCTGCCCCAGTGACATAGTACCTACCAAGCTCCTCAAAGATTCATTTGATGTTACCGGCCCTTTTATCCTCTCCATTATAAACAGCTCTATGTCAACTGGTGCTGTTCCTCCCTCATTTAAATATGCTATAGTGCAGCCCTTGTTAAAAAAAAACCCAACCTGGACCCCATACCACTTTCCAACTACAGACCCATCTCAAAACTACCCTTCCTTTCTATGGTGCTAGAAAAGGTTATTCTGGAGAAATTGCTACCCTACCTTCGTCATAATAGTATTTTAGACACATTTCAATCAGGTTTCAGAGCAGCCCATAGCACAGAATCTGCACTTCTCAAAATCCACAACGACCTTCTGCTTACAATGGACTCTGGAAACTGTGCTTTCCTGATCTTACTGGACCTTACTGCAGCATTCGACACTGTCGACCACACAATTTGAATTAATCACCTGCAGCATTGGGTTAGTGTTGGGGGCACAGCCCTGACTTGGTTTACATCATACCTGAACAACAGAACCTTCTCTGTAAACTTAACCAACGCCACATCCTCCCAATCTGGTCTGAGCTGTGGGATACCACAGGGATCCATCCTAGGCCCTCTACTATTTTCACTATACATGCTCCCATTGGGTCAAATTATCCAGAAGCACAACCTCTCATACCACTTCTATGCAGATGACATACAGCTTTATCTACCGGTCAAACCAAACAATCTCGCAGAACTCACCTCTCTTATACAATGCCTTGAAGACATGAAACACTTTATGGCCCATAACTTCCTATAATTAAATGAGTCAAAAACTGAAGCTGTTCCCCCCCGACATCATCAAACGGGTCTCCAACAGCTTAGGTCACTTATACAGCCACATTAGGCCCCACGCCAGGAACCTTGGCTTTATCTTCGACTCAGGCTTTACATTTGATCGGCAGGTAAATTTAGTTGTCAAATCCAGTTTCTTTCAGCTCCGTACAATTTCCAAGCTAAAACCTATCCTCTCATTCAGTGACTTACAGACAGTAACCCATGCACTCATTTCATCCCGGCTTGACTACTGCAATTCTTTATATACCGGGATAAGCCAGTCGTCCCTGTCCTGTCTGCAGCTGGTCCAAAATGCTGCAGCAAAGCTGCTGACTGGAACCAAGAAGAGGGAGCATATCAGTCCTGTCCTAGCGTCCCTTCATTGGCTCCCAATAAGATTCAGAATCGATTTTAAGATTGTGTTGTTTGTTTTTAAAGCCCTGAATGGCCTGGCCCCCCTTTACATTACCGACCTCCTCAGGCCGTACACCTTATCTAGGCGCCTGAGATCATCAGACATGGGCCTCCTGGCTGTTCCCTGCGCATGGCTCAAGCTAAAGGGAGATCGGGCATTTTCAGTAAAAGCCACTAAACTGTGGAACAGCCTCCCTCATTCAATCAGGTCTGCACCCTCTGTTGACTCTTTTAAGTCCTGTCTCAAGACATACTTTTATATTTTAGCATTTGAGTCCGCTGGTCCTGAATAGATCATTTCTTTCAGGTTCCTTTGTTGCTTTTTATTTGTATATATGTATACATATATATATATATTTCTCTCTTGTGGACAATGTGATCTGAAGTTGTTTTTTCTTTTTTAATTTATTGTACAGCACTTTGGTCAGCTGTAGCTGTTTTTAAATGTGCTTTATCAATAAATTTGACTTGACCTGAATTGACTTGACTACCTAAAGGACATGTCTCCCTGATTTATAATACCTTATTGGAAAAAATACAAACTCCCTTAGCAATTGTATCAAAATGGAACAAAGACTGCTCTGAGTCGTCTATAAACTGGGCAAATGTTTGGAGAAATACATTGCATTCATCACAAAATCTAAATTATAAATTAACAAACTTATTTAACACCTATACGGCATTACAGAATGCATATTGAGTTCCCCCCACTGCTCCTTATGTGAGTTAAACCAAATAGGGACATTCCTACATATTATGTGGGAGTGTGCACCTGTTCAAAAGTTTTGGATGCAAATTACAGAAATCCTGACTGAAAATTTTAATTTGCCAATTACCTGCTCTCCTGAAATTATGCTTTTGAATGATGACTCCGGGCAGAATTTTAACAAAACTCAAAGACTGCTGTGGCTTTCAGCATGCTGCCAAAAAGATGCTGGCAGTAAGATGGAAGCCCCCTCACACTCTTTCTATAAATCAGTGGATCAGCTTATGGATAGAAATTCTGACATTGGAGCTCTCTGTGGCTCGGATGAATCGGCAGGGCCGACTACTTTAGAAAATATTTTTACCTGCTTTTTGTAAAAGTTAACACTTGTTATGAGTTGACGCTATACAAATAAAAATTGACACTCGGGGAACTGCATTCTTTTGCATTTCCGCATTGGTTTTATTTATTCAGCTCAGCTTCAACTCCAGAGGATGCCTCTCACTTCCCCCGAGCTGACAGAAAGTTTGGAGCCATGGCTGATGGACGAGAAGAGGAGAGGAGAGAAGAAGACCAGGAGCTTCTGGGCGCAGTGGGAGGGGAAGGTATGTGAAGCCATGTCTGCTCTACAGTCCAGCTGTGCAGCTCTTATTCTCCAATATGAACACAACTTTCAAAAGTACTATTCCTTAGGTAACATTATTATTAACAAAGGAGGCACCTTTGTTCTGTGAAAGTGTTCCTCTGCCGTGGAAACAGCATCCTTACGAGAGTGAAACTTAAAGTAATTCAAAGCCTTGAATACCATTAGCCTAGTATGTTTTACCATTGTCATGCAGAAGTTATTTACACATTCAGCTGGCGGAAAGTTTAGGAGCAGCTTCTCCCTGTGAAATGTGAGTAAAGTTCAGCTATGGTTGGGTAGAAAAAGCAGAAGGAAAACAACCTGTTCTGTTAGTGACATACTTGTCACTTCCTCTTCATACTGCACCTAATAACATAAAGGTGAGCAGAGTCCTCAGCTTGAAAATCAGCTGGAGAGATAGAAAGAGTCAAAATATAAAGTGTGTCATTTTAAATACATTTGGTAATGGTCCTAGATAATAATGATTTAGCCATTGTTGATGTGAAAAAGTCAAAATGTGTTTGTATAAAAATCATTACGAATACAAGCATTTGCATGACTAGAGTCATACCTGAAGATGATGAACTTTGTAACATCTGCAAAATATATATTTTTAAAAATCATTATGTATTATAACCAGAAGAGGTTCAGCCAGGCCATGACTGATGATTGGTCTTTCACAGTGTAAGCCTAATTACAAGATACACAAGATCAGAAAAATTATTCTTCCTTGCACAATAAGGTTTGAATGTGAAAATACAATCTTTAGAAAACAAATGAGAGAACAGATATGAGTGTAAGAACATGTTTTCGAAAAGCCTTACCTGATGTAGCTTTTTACCCAATTTCTTTGCAGCATGCGAGATGTTGAGTAAACGTTTGAGACCCCATTCTTTGTACAGATCCACGCTCTGGATCTGTAACAAATTGTACAAGTTTGATTTATATAATCAAATATAGCTAATAACAGGGGCTAGATCAAATGTAAACTTAGCAGAGAGAACATTTCTGCAGTGATGCTAACATGCTCATGTGATCACATCATTTTTTTTAAACCCTGTTTCCAATTAAATTTTTTATATTTATGGACTAGGTCACAGAAAAGTTGTGTATACAAATGATCTTCCATTATATTTACATGTAGACATCAGCTTTCTCTTAGATATGCAACCAGTAAATTAAACATAGCGTAACTGAAGAAGTGGAAGGAATTCTTCTTCAGAGCTGCCCACACCATCTCCACAGCACTTCTGAACAAGATCCTCCCATCAATACTGCAAAGAAACAATCATAAACACGATAGACCGGAATGACAGGTCAGTGAAATAATGCACCTACATGCTGTTTCTCAAGTCATGAGCCTCCTCCTCCTCATCCAGGGAGTGCATGCTGCAACCAGAGTATAGAAAGACATACAATTAGATTTTTTTTTTTCTTTTTTAATCGTTTATTTGAATCAGGGACAGTGTACAAAAAAAACCATTAGTCTCAGAAGAGAAGAGATGCTTTGTACCAGATTTAGCTAGCTAGCTAATTTTCATCTGTTGTCCCTGGGCAGATTATGGCAACAGCAAAATGCAAATCAACCAGTCACACACACATACACATTTTCATAAGATAGAAGAAAGACATAGAACAATTTACAGATATTAAAACATTATGTGTTATGTGTGTCAAAGTTTCCCTGATGACACATTAATGCTGACAAGACTGGTTACTTAAAATCCATTTTTTGACTTCCCAGGTGAAAGTGCAGAAGTTTGTGCAAAGTTTAAGACTAGCTGGAAGACTATTCCATTCTTTAATGGCTTTAAAAGAAAAAAACAGATTGTGCTAAAGCGGAGCCACGTTTAGGAATACTGCAATCTCCGTTAGAGGCAGACCTTGAAGATCTGCTGATCAGCTCAGAGCGAAGTTTCACAAAGCTTTTCAATGGTCGGGGAGAAGCATCATGGATTATTTTGTACACTAAGCGGACATCGGTATAAAAAATTTAATTGTCAAAGCTTAGAATTTTATATTTATCAAGAATATCACAATGTTGATACTGTTGTGGTTTCAATTGACAATTACATTAAACGACATTTCATGGGAGAGAGTGATAGTAACTCCAACACATTCCAGATTATCAGTAGGCACTCTTACTCTTAATCCCTTCTTTAACATAGATCATAACACCACCACCCTTCCCACATTTACGATCTCATCTATAGACAGTATAGCCTGGAACGTTAAAAACACTAGATGGAGTTGTTTGAGTTAACCACGTTTCTAATAGGCACAAATAGTCGAGATTTGAGTCTGATAATAGCTGTTTGAGTTGTTCAGTCTTTGATATAATACTCCTTATGTTTAGGTGTCCTCCAAAAATCCCTTTAGGTTTTACTTTCGGGTCCCAAAGCACCTTCGCATGGTTTACAGTCTGATTTTTTTATTTTATTTTGTTGTTTAATGGTCGCAACGTCTTTGTTTCGTTTCGTGTTAGTCAGTGATGATGCCGAGGGAGAATTGTTTACAAGTCCACACGTGACTTTCTTCAGTTTGTGTACAGTGTTTACCACAGATTTACCGTGCGCTGTATCTAATGGCGTGTCGCCGGTGGAAATATGATGCAGAAGTTCGGGAACTGAAAGAAGACCGCAGTTAGCAGATGTGTATGTAGCATCGTCACCTCCTGCTACTTTGTGGCCTTGGGATCCAGGTGTAGTTTGGAAGCTGTCACCTCGAGGTAGTTGGAAGTCTCTGGGACCAGGATTAAGGTGGATCGCCTATTTCCTTATTAGTGAAGCCTTTAGGACAAGATGCTCCATGTTTGTCATTTGAGAACAGGACGCTGCTGCTCATCTGATATAGACTACAATAACAACTTTATTCTTTTATTCTTTAAAGGCGTTAAGGTTTCTCCTTTCGTCACTTTCGCGCAGGCTGGTCTCGAACTCGTAAATTAGCAAATTAATCTTGTAAAATTACGACTTTATTCTCGTAAATCTCGTCAATTCAGATTTGATTTTCTTTAATGTGGCCTAATCCTCCGTCGTAGCCCCAAAGGCTGCTCAGATAAGAAGCAACAGGACCTGAACCCGGGACAATTTGTTGTCCATACGATCATGCTACGGGCTAAACTTTGCTAACAGGTCGACAACTTTTCTCGCCCTGCATCAGTCAAAGTCTGCCAGAAAAACGTTAGCATGCGTTGCTTACTCATCAGGGGACACTAACGTTATTCTGCTATTCTGGTCGTTATATGATAACGTCAGCTACCTGTCGAGACAGATTTAATGGGTGTTTGGTGAAACAACTCTGTAACTATGATCCACAGTTTTAAACGAGAAAATTATTCACCAGTCCGCAGCATTCAATAATTCCTCTGGTCTGGCTTCTTGTTCAATCACACTCACCTTTTCTCCTCTTAGCTTCATCCAGTCCATCAAACAGTCCATCAAACAGTACAGAGACGGGCTACGTATCTTCATAGTATAAGTGCTGCTGACTGCAGTAGTAAAACGGTACATACTTCTCGCAAGACACAGCCCTATGTCTCTCCTCTTGTTTTTGGAACAGCTCAAGTCAACACCGATATGGTTTTCTTCATTTCATACATGGTCTGCATCATTGTAGTAGAGATATGCCTAAGTGAAGAGTTTATATTAATACTTCTGTATAAATAAGTTTTCAAACGTTTCTAAACTAACTGTACGCTATTATCAATCTTTTCTTCTCTTCAGATGTCATTGATGACCCCATCGTGGATCTGGCTGCAGTGCTCCTCAGAGGGTAAGTTCATCCTCACACATTGAAAAAGTATCCAAATAAAAACGATTCAATCACAGATTTCCTATACAAAGTTATTATTCATGGGCTAATCAGCTCATATAAACTCAAGGTTGACCTTTTGGATATTTTGCCTGAGGGAGACCCAGTGACTTGATTCTTTGCTGGTCCTAGGTATGCGATTGAAAGTATAAAGGCCGAGGAGCCCGGTCGACACGTGTCGCCTGAGGATCTGGGAGGAAGGTCGAGTGAACAACAGGATCCACAAGTCAAAGAAATGGTGGAACAGCTGCTAAAGATCACTGAGCTGAACAGGAACGCCGAGCTCCAACAGTAAGCGCAGCGTCATGTTAAAAAAAGACGCTAGGATCAGATCAGTCAGCAGAGGCCTGTGATAGATTAAGATTTTTAATATGAAACATTTCTTTGAGCTTTTCATTGCTATGAGATGAGATGAGATGATGAGATTCAACTTTATTGTCATTACACATATACAAGTATAGAGTAACGAAATGAGGTTTGGCATCTCACCAGAAGTGCAAATAAGCAGAAAGTGCAATAGTCTGTGCTATGTACAGTAATTCTGTGCTATGTACAGTAATTGCAAAATTTACAGATGTAGCCAAAAAAAGTGAATTATTAGGTAAATCTGGATGGCTGGATTAATGGGATGCAATAAATATAAATAAATGCTATAAATAAGTAAGTAATGCTACAAAATAAGTGTGTTTTTAGGATTATAATATACAGATTAAGATGCAGTGAGCATGCTATACTAATAATATACAGATTAAGATGCAGTGAGCATGTTATACAAGTTTACAGATAATTTAAAGAATATGAACATACTATAATACAATAATACAGATGGATGAGAGATGAGTGTGTGTGTGACCAGGAGGAGTGGTGGGGGGATGATGGGTGTGAGGTGATATGGAGGGGAAAGGGGGGTCAGCAGAGTGTGGAGAGAGAGAGGAAGAGAGAGAGAGAGACAGAGTTCAGAGTTCGGGGGGGTAGAGTTCAGTAGAGAAACAGCTCTGGGGAAAAAGCTGTTCCTCAGTCTGCTGGTTCTGGTCCGGAGGCTTCTGAAGCGCCTGCCGGAGGGCAGGAGGGTAAACAGTCTGTGGGCAGGGTGGGAGGAGTCTTTAAGGATGCCATGAGCTCGCCGCAGACAGCGTTTTCTTTGGACATCCTCAATGGCAGGAAGTGGACACCTTGTGATGCGCTGGGCGGTTTTTACCACCCGCTGTAGCGCCTTACGGTCTGCGACAGAGCAGTTTCCGTACCAGACTGAGACACTGCTGGTCAGGATGCTCTCGATCACACAGCGGTAGAAGTTCATCAGTACAGCTGAAGACAGGTGGTGTCTCTTCAGTGTCCTCAGGAAAAAGAGGCGTTGATGAGCCTTCTTAACCAGACTGGAGGTGTTAGTGGACCAGGAGAGGTCCTCTGTGATGTGGGTCCCCAGGAACTTGAAGCTGGAGACACGTTCAACAGCCATCCCGTTGATGTGAATGGGGTTGTGCGTGCTTCCTCTTTCTCTCCTGAAGTCCACGATGATCTCCTTCGTCTTGCTGGTGTTGAGGAGCAGGTTGTTGTCAGCACACCAGACGGCCAGATGCTGTACCTCCTCCCTGTAGGCCGTGTCATCGTTGTTGCTGATGAGGCCAATCACCGCTGTATCGTCCGCAAACTTGATGATGGTGTTGGATCCATGTACAGGTCTGCAGTCGTGGGTGAAGAGGGAGTAGAGGAATGGGCTCAGCACACAGCCCTGTGGTACGCCTGTGTTGAGTGTGATGGTGGTGGAGCAGGTGTGTCCTGACCTAACATACTGGGGTCTGTTGGTCAGAAAGTCCATTATCCAGTGACGGAGGGAGGAGTTGAAGCCCAGGTCTCCGAGTTTAGTGTTCAACTTGGAGGGGATGACAGAGTTGAATGCTGAGCTAAAATCAACAAACAGCATTCGTGCGTATGTGTTGTTATTGTCCAGATGAGTGAGCACAGAGTGCAGCGCAGTGGAGACTGCATCCTCTGTACTCCTATTGCTGCGGTAGGCAAACTGGAATGGGTCCAGTGTGGGTGGGAGGCAGTTTTTCAGGTGTGCTAGGACCAGTCGCTCAAAGCACTTCATTATGATGGGTGTGAGTGCCACAGGGCGGTAGTCGTTCAGGCCTGTCGGGCTGGAGTGTTTCGGCACTGGGACAATGGAGGTGGCTTTGAAGCATGCTGGCACAGCTGCTTGGGCGAGGGACAGGTTGAAGATGTCCGTAAAAACCCCAGTGAGCTGCTCCGCACATGCCCTAAGCACGCGCCCGGGGGTGCCGTCTGGACCAGCAGCCTTTCGAGCGTTGATCCGGCTCAGTGCAGCGTGGACGTCTGTGGAGGTGAGTGAGAGGGGCTGGTTGTCTGCAGGAGGTCTGGTCGTGGTCTGTGTCTCTCTGTTGTCTCTATCGAAACGAGCATAAAAGTGATTTAGCTCGTTCAGGAAGGAGACATCTGTGGTTATCGGGGTGGAGTTTCTGGGTTTATAGTCACTGATGGCCTGGATGCCCTGCCACATGCGTCTGGGGTCGGAGTTGGAGAAGTGTTCCTCTACCTTCAGCTTGTAGCAGTGCTTGGCCTTGATGATGCCCCTCCTCAGGTTTGCCCTGGATACGCTGTAGGCCATTGCATCATCTGATCTGAAGGCGGTGTTGCGGGCCTTCAGCAGGAGACGCACCTCCTTGTTCATCCATGGCTTCTGATTTGGGTACGTGGTGATCTGCTTCCATGTTGTAACACTGTCGATGGTGGTATTGATATAATCCAGCACAGAAGAAGTGTAGGTGTCAATGTCTGTGTGAGAGCCCAAGGTAGCCTGAGAAGCAAACATACTCCAGTCTGTGTGATGGAACTTGTCCTGAAGTACAGAGTCTGTCCCCGCTGGCCACACTTTAATAGTTGTTACTGATGGCTTCACACGTTGGATGAGTGGGGAGTACTTGGGGATGAGGAACAAAGAAAGGTGGTCTGACTGTCCCAGGTGGGGGAGGGGGGTCGTGGTGTAGGCTCCTGCGATGTTTGTGTAAACATGGTCCAAAGTTTTGTTTCCTCTTGTATTGCAGGAAACATGCTGGTGAAATTTAGGGAGCACTGTCTTTAAGTTTGAGTGATTAAAATCACCTGCAACTATAAATGCAGCCTCCGGGTGAGCAGTCTGTTGTTTACTGATAGCGGTGTAAAGTTCCTTCATAGCAGCTTTTGCATCGGCATCAGGGGGGATGTAGGCTGCAGTTACAATAGTGGAGCTGAGCTCCCTTGGCTGATAGAAAGGTCTACATTTAACCATGAGAAACTCAATGTTAGCTGAGCAGTGTCTCCCAATAATGACAGAGTCTGTGCACCAAGCTTTGTTAATATAAATGCACAGCCCTCCTCCTCTGGTCTTACCGGAGTCCTCTGCTGTTCTGTCTGCTCGGTGTGTGTGGCGACCGGCTAGCTTGATAGCATCGTCCGGTACTCCGTTGTTTAGCCATGTTTCCGTGAATATCATGACATTACAGTCCATAATTCTCTTGCTGTGGATGATGCGAAGTCGTAACTCGTCCATTTTGTTCACCAAAGACCGCACATTAGCGAGGAAAATGCTGGGTAACGGGAGACGGTGCGGTGTTAGCTTTAGCTTAGCCCTTATACCTCCGCGCTTCCCCCGCCTTTGTTTACGGTCTCGACGCCGCCTGCGAGCACTTCCGCCCGGCCGGGTAGAGTGCGTAGCCTCGGGTGTTTTGGCGATCTCAGGGATGAGTCGAAGATTGTTGATTAAATCGTCAGGGAGGTGTATTCCGATATCCAAAAGTTCCTGTCGGGTGTAGGATGTTAAGGCGAGGCTGTTCCGTGCGAACAGACCCGAAATTAACAATAAAATTACTGCAAAATTGCAAATCTGAGAGAGACGCTGGGCCTCGCGATGCGCTCGCGCCGCCATCTTGGTCATCCGACAACAGACACTAATTAAAATATTAAAGCCTTGAATTGGTTATACTTAAAGGTATAAAAGTAATGCTTGGTATGGCTTAGAATGACGCTTTCATTTATGTTTTATTTTCTGCACAAGTCAGTTTAATACCATCAAGGCTGCAGCCTGAATAATAAGTCTTTAACTTTCATACACACCAGAGATGGGGACTCGAGTTTGAGACTTGAACTTGAGTTGCTCTTAAGTTGCATAAAGATTTAACCTAGAGACTTCACTTTGACAAGCCCTCTCAGCGACTTTAGACTTCACCTGAACTCGAGGTTTGTGCCCAATCTCTTTATATCGTATATCTGGTGCGTTACCGTAACAAGCTTAATCTCGTTCCCTCCCATCATGTGGAACCCCCACGCGTCATGTGCGCGAGTGGCCACAGATGACAAGATGATGAGCATGTCACCTGGAGCTGCTACTGACAGAACGTCGGCTCAGGCATGAGGTAGTCGTCTGGAAGATGGACTGCCTCAAACGCTTTCTTTGGTCCGGACCAAATACGATGTTTCTCTTTTTGGTTTGGTGCGGTTCGTTTCCACATTGCACTTTTCACAAGAGGCCCTGAAATTTGTAAACAAAACAACGTGTGCAAAGATCGTTCAATCATTGGACAAAAAAGACCTTGCGTGCTGCACTCGTTGTCCTGGGATTGATTTGGTTCATACAGTTATAAACGTTTGCAGAAAGGTTTGAGCAGCAAGAGTGTTTTATACAACGTCAGTTTTATGTTGCGATGCTTTCTGATATGGTCCTCTGCCCAAATATCCAGGAGACAGCGTGTCTCCTCGGCACTCCATGTTGAAACACAACTAATTTTTAGCAAACAACAACACTGTGCTGCTAACCAAACAATTATTTCGGTTAACAGCACTAAAATGAATCCATTGTGACATTAAAGTATTTTCTTGCTGTCATGTCAGACTCATCAACCAGGTTCTAGGCAACTGTGCCCGGGGTATCTTCACGAAGGTGGCCAGAAACAACTTTGCTGATGGCATCAACTGGGGTCGTGTGGTGGCTCTCTTCCATCTGGCCTACAGACTCATCTACAAGGTGATACACTTTTCAAATCCCAAACACAACAGAGCATCACATATTCATGTCGGGGTACTCAATGTCTAAGTTGACGTAGATTTGTCTGTTTTATCCAAATAAATTATGACTCATAGCCTGTATAAGTATAAATATCATCTTATTTATACTTTTAAAGCAATTCCCAAAATATCGTAAATCATTCTCCTAAATCTTCGATTTCCTAAAACGTACCCTGTTAGCGCACTCACACTAGGCAGTCCATACCGTGCCTAAGCACGCTTCACCCCTAAAGTCCAGTTTATTTTACTAGTGTGAGCTCTCCGATCTGTGCTCAAGCGCACTCCCTTGGCCCTAGCACCCTTGAAAGAGGTGTGCTTCAGCATGTTACAGTTCATGCACGAGCACAAGCATGAAGGCGGTACACAACGTCGACAGCCTTCATTATCGAGAAATCTCGGAGTGCTCTGGCTGTTTCTGACTAACATGACTCAAAATAAGACACAAATTCAGTAAAGGAGCTGTCATGTTTTCTGTGTTGTTCTCTGATGTGCAGACGCGGATTCGACCGCTGGTTCCTTGTAAACTAAGCATGCTTCATATTCACGTAAAGCCCAGCATGTGTTGTATGACGACGTCATGTACAAGAGGTAACCGTGCTCATGCCCGGTTAGTCCTGGAGCAGTGTGAGTGTGTGTTCAGAATTTTTATTGGCTTAATTTGATTAGCCTTTATGAAAAAGAAACTAAAAGGACAGAGGTGTTCAGCTCCCAATGAGCAATTTCATTTTAAACAGGGGAACCTTTTGATCTTCTTTTGATTTTCTCTTTTACAAGGAACATTAGTCATCAGCACAGTTGCTTGCAATTGGCTGGCGATGGATCAATGTTGGATCTTTGTAGATGATATAACAAAGAGTAATATCTTTTACCTGCTTTTTTGTAAAGTTTCTTGAGATAACATTTGTAACATGTAGGTTGGTAATATTCATTTGTTTTTATTTCAAAGGCGATAACAAGCAACCATCTAGAGAACATCAAAATCATCTTCAGCTGGTTTCTTCAGGTCATCAGAGAGCAGCTCCACACCTGGCTCGTACAGCAGGGAGGCTGGGTGAGTGATGGATGGTCTGTAAGGACCTGTCAATCATGTGCTTAATTCATTTCTCACATATTGACCTGTCAGTAGGGTCCAAAGCTCTAATCCTGCTCTCTGTACCTTTCCAGGAGGGGGTGATCCGTGGGATTTCTCGCTGGAGGACAGTAGCCATAGTAGCATCAGTAGTATTAGTGGCAACTTTTGTTTACTACAGGAGAACACGCTGAGATCTGCAGACCTCACAACCAGGACCGCAGTGCCATCACTTTGGGAAACGCCACTGCATAATAGAGCCAGTTTCTAGAAACATTTACGACCACTCCTAAGCCTCCATTTCAAACAACCACAAAAAAATAACAATTTAAGTGAACTTATTAACACGTTCATAAATCCAGGCAAGAAATGCAAATCAAGCTAAATAACCACACTCGAAAAATAACGCACACACTCGTTTTGGAGTTGGTCTGCCGTCAGATTTAAATTCATCTTGCTGCTGTAGATAAAAGACACATCCTACGAATCAGTGATGCTTTCTGGGTTCATTGGGTGTTTCGGGGTCTCGCAACATTAGTGTCTGAAGTTTTGCACATAAAATCAGAGTTGACTTCCTGCCCTCTGTCTGCATGTGTTTTGTTTGTTTGACTTCCTGGCTTGACAGACAGTAGTCGGAGTCAGGAAGGCCATTAGTTAACTGGGTACACCTGAGTCCATCAGGACTCACCTTATTTGAGTGGCTTCCTAAAATCTCTCTCCCCTCTTCCTCTCAGGACCCCACCAGCTGGTTTGCATTTGTTTCCACACATTACATTCATGACTGATTCTAGGGCGAAAAGGAAGGTCAGAAGATTATAGAAGAAGAGGCAGCAAAAAACACAGGATTTTTGTGAGAAGACGAGACAAGAGAGATGGACACATTTTGCAGGGCTTCCACTTAGCACTTCCAGTGAAGCTGATCAGACACCAGAGGACAGGCCTGCAGACCACAGAAGGATGAGAAGAGCAAAAATGTGTCACAGCAGAAAACTAAAGAAGCTGGAGTAGAAGGTCAAAGACACAGTGGAAGATAACTTAAAGAGGTCATATTCTGCCCTTTTTGTGGTTCATATATTTAATCTATGTACCTACTAAAGTATGTTCACAATAGCTAAAGTTCAGAAAAAGTGTCTGTTTTCATGAACTGCCGCTCCATGCACCTGCTCGCTTCTGACTCTCTCTCTAAGGCTCTGAAGTGCCCACGTTCAGAGTCCCCACGTGTGCCACGTCTGATCTGATTGGTAGGCCTGTCGGCTCTGCAGTAATTGGTCAGTGGCTCAGCACGGAAATGTCACGCCCCTTTTACCATATTGGGAATGCAGCCACTTTGGCTCCGAGGGGAGCAAAAACAAAGAGAGTCAAACCACACCTGCAGCAAGCAGCTGCACAAAACGGGAAAATACATTGCTTGAAGTTTGGTGTTTTAATACCCACGTGTATTTATTTTTGTTATTTATATTTTTTTCCTTCACTGCCTCCCACCGGAGATGGTGCCGAAGTACTTTAAGTCCTATGTAGATGTTTTTGGGTCACTCCGTGTAAATGTATATGCAATGTGAAGCTACGAGCTAAAGAGCACTACCATTTGCCTGCTAAAACAAAAATGCAGCTCGAGACAAGGACAATTTTGTCCGCCACTTGTCCTTAGCGCTTATTTATGGTGCGTTCTAATTTGATAACTCCTTTGTGCAAACTCGAGTAGAGAAGGGTTGGAGCTGTGTCGCTGGAGGAGAGCGGAGGAGTCAGTGTGTCCGAGGTGTCACCAAACAGCAGTTTGTTTTGGTTTCATGCTGGTTTAAGTTCATGAAAAAGTAATTTAATGTTTTTTTGTTTTTTTTAACTCTGTCCAAAATGTTTAGAGCAATCATAAGAATATTGATTTTAGTTTAAATTCTGAAGTTAAACCACTTCTTTGATAAAGATTATGAGGTCCCTTGTTAGGATTTCAGATTTGATTGTTTTTAACCGGACCCAATAGCAAAACCTGCTCACAGGGTAAAGAGGAAAAGGAGATGGAAGGCAATGATGACCTAAATATGGGCTGGTGGGAGAAGGCACATGATGAAATATTCACAAGAGTTGCACAAACAAACAATACCACATGGAGAAGGTAAACAACCTGAATGCGTTTGACCAGGGTTTTAAAAGCAGCCACTGATGATGGTTAAATGAGTCGCAGGTGTGTGAGTACCGGGAGATCCAGGAACAACGCCCAGTCTCTGAAAACACAACGGCAGCTCAGAGAAATAACACAGTGCACCAAAAAGCAAAATAAAAATGTTCAGAACCACCACATCACTATCACAAAAAGTTTTAGTATGGATAAAGTGTGAGGGACATCTGATTGTTAGGGAAACGTTTCTTTACTTACAAATACATTTTTAATCATATTCAGACAGTGTCCATTTAATAAAATCATGACCAATAATAATACAGATTTAATGCCTGAGGTGGAAAATATGTTTTTCTGGAGAGCAATATCTACTTAATGTTGTGTGGTGTTCAGAAAAGTAAAACATTTTGGTAAAAAAATCTAAAAATGTCAAAGCCAAAATCGTTCCAGTTTCGTGGAATGACTAATTCATTAGTGCAGCGGTACAGTAAATAGTCATTTTTTATTTACATGCAACTGTAGTGTCAGATGTTCATTCATAAACTGTGTCCCCCAGAGTTGCAAAAGTACAAAACAAACATATAAACAGGCTTAACTTACCTAATGTTAATACGTATGGGTGATTGCAGTGTGGCAGCTTGTCACAGAGTCCAGCCCATTTCTTTTACTTCTCTATCATCAAAAAATGTTCCCGTTATGACGCAAAAACAAGCTTTGTTATCGTGAGATATATGGAGATCTCAAGAAAACAACTGAAATTAACTTCTTATGACGAGAAAACAAAGGAAATTAAATAAACTGAGCTATATATCTGACTTGGGCTTCCATACAGTTCAGAAAATGTGTAAAAGACGAAAAAAAATGAGTCGCAGGAAGACAGAAATGATGGGGCGCCGATTGCAGTTGCGCACACTACAAATAACAACAACATTTCTCCACATTTAGCCCTCAAAAAATAACTTTTTATTCACATTTAGAGAAATATTTGTGAACGTTTGTGAATAAAAATGTAAGATAATTTCATTGGCAAATATAAATGTTAAATATTATATCTAAACGTTGAATGTTTTATCTAAATGTTAAATGTTATATATAAATGTTAAAGATACTTGTCCTGATTCTAAATATTTAGCTACGTTTCTAAACATTTAGTTTACATTCTAAATATTTAGCTTTGATCCTATATATTTAGATAAGATTGTAAATATTTATAATCAAATCTAAAAATATAGAATATAAACTAAATATTTAGCAACGACTTCTAAATATTTAGCTAAGACTCTAAATATTTAGCAACAATTTCTAAATATTTAGCTAAGATTTCTAAATATTTAGCAACAATTTTTAAATATTAGCTTTTATTTCTAAATATTTAGCTAAGATTTATGCAAATTCACTCTACCGCCCACCGGAAGCACCACAATAAAAGTTTGGGGAAGCCAATATTCAAGGTCAAGGTCAAGGTTTCTTTACTCGTCTCCCTCGGGAGGAATTTGTCTAGGATGCTGGGAAATTGCTGCATGGACAATACATCGAAAACAATATAAAAACAGTAATTACAAATGTGCAAAAAAAACATTTAACTTCTCCGTGCTACAGTACACACACACTCACTCCTACAGTCACAGGCGCATGCACGTGCACACTGTGCACATGTACACATGCCACTCCAGACAGTTTCATACATACATACATGTCTACAGTTATCAGTACATTGGGGGCCTCCTGGTTTTCTGTTCCTCCACTATTTTTTGCTCATTAATGAGCTTAACTGAAAAAGGGACTAGTGAGCTTTTGAAGCCAATAATCATAAATATAGGCTTATTTTTGTTACAGTGAGCATGATTAAGTTTTTTCCTTTTGTTGCTCAGGTTGATATTAATTAAGGTTGATATTAAGCATTTGCTTAATTTTAAGTTGAAGTTACATTCACTTATTATCAGTCATTGTGTTTTCTTGATGTCTGCAAAACAACTCCATGTTACATTTTGTTTTTTCATTCAAAAGGAAACACTAAGGTTGTTGGCGTAGTGCACCTCCACATGAATGGAACGCGGCCCTCTTTGAGGTACTAGGTGCCATGCGGGGGTAATGGGACGCAGCCGCAGCTCGTCTGGTTCATGTCTCGGACACATGACAGGACTCCGTTGTACTGCACAGCACCACACACGGCTCTGCTCGTAGATCAGCGAACTTTAAACAAAGTTGCCCTTCACGGTCAGGCTATTTTAATACACGGAAGTGACAACGGCCCGTTAAGAGGGAGTAAACAAGATGCCTGCGGTCTCTAAAGGGGACGGGATGCGGGGCCTGGCGGTGTTCATCTCTGACATCAGGAACTGTGAGTTTGTTTATCACATTCAGAGACGGCTCATGCTCAGAAACAAGCTGGTGTAACACGAGTAAAGGTTGCGAACTCAGCGGTCTGAACATGTCTAATAGTTCCTCTCTTCCCGTTTTCATTAAACATTTTGGCAACTTTTAACTCAACAACTCTGAGTCTGCTAGCTAATTAGCGTTAGCCGTTAGCTTCGCATGCTAACGTCATTTCGAAGGGCGTGGACCGCTAACCTAACTGTCACATATCTGTGTGGCGTTCAGGGGCTTCGTGGTAAAATTTGTTTTTTTGTTTTAAGAGGTGGTTATAAATGGATTATTTGAAGAAAGTGCCAAAATTCACAACTTGCATCATTGAATTGCATCATTCACAACTTGTGTGGGTTTTAAAAACAGGACAGTTTCCTGCTTCAGGTCAAAAGAATAACAGCTCCAGTGTTTCTGTGGTTTTTAACTTTTTTACCGAATAGATTTCAATAGTTCCCAATGATCATAAACCTTTAGTAAAGACTTAATTAAAGATATGTGGGAAATAAAATGACTTAAGTAGAAATAAATAAATAAATGCTGGAATTAATGCATCGATAAAATAACAAATAATACATTTTGGTAATGTTATTTCTATTTCTAATTTTATTCAATTTTAATTTTAATTAATAAAAAAAAATCTATAATTATTATTACAACATATTTCGGCATATAATTGTGTCTGTGATTGTTAATTGCCTGATTTAATAATAAAAAGTATATATATTAATGTTTCTGTTTCCCTGCTTTCAATGTCTTCTATATCTTGAATTACCTTATATCTGAAATGTGCTGTATAAATAACCTTGCCTCGCCTTGGCAATATTTTATAGTTATTTATGTATTTTTTTTATTCAGAATTTATACATTAATCACTTCTTACATTTCCACATCTATTTACTTCTGTGTCCATATTGTACGAGGAAAAGTATAAATGTCAGTTTAGGTGGTCACTCTGAAGTAGGATCAATAAAAGTGGAAATGTAGAAATAAAAACATAAATGATCTAATAAATAAAGATATGAATAATCGTGTACATTTATCAATACATATGTTGAAGTAACAAAGTAAATACATGAATAAATGCAGAAAAAACTTA